CACCCAAAATGCCTTTTCAGCTAAAATAAAGTATTTCACAGTAGCTGGATAATAATAGATGATAAAACAACCCCACCTCCTTCATCTATAATTTGTTTTCTTATTAATGTCTACTGAGCAGAATATAGACAATTGAAGTTACCTCTAGAAGTTCATCACCACTTTTGAGTTTTCCATTCTGTCCCACAGGTCCATCAGGCAGTATTGATCTGATATAATGATGCGGTCTGACCTCCTCTCCATCTTCAATATCAACAGTACCTTCAAGACTTATTCCTAAACCTCCCCCTTGATGGAACTTACTTATCTGGGCAACCTGAGAAGAAAAATATTCATGTACTCGTCCTGTCATAGATAAGTTCGACTTCCTAGAAGCAGCCAGAATGTTTGCTCAAGGTGCAGCCGGCAGAATGTAGTTTATGTACACAGACATTGTTGTATGAATAAAGACCTGGATAAAACTTAGACGCCAAGACGAGATGTTTTTTCATACTAGTACTTCTTCATTGAAATCAAATCATCTCATTAACTCTACATTGTATTGTTTTCCATATTAAACAGATATCAATTTCTTGATTTGTGTATGATCCTCAAATTTGCAATTATGACCCCAAAATTTTCAGACAAGGGATCCCAATGACCCCCACATCTAAAAAATGATGTAAAATCCTGGTACTGTTACATCAGGCAAAACAAATGTGAACATGAAATCCACATCTGGCTAGGGTAGCCAAATTCATATTTTGCATTACAGAGCATGTTACTGCACATATAGAATATGCAGTTTATATATCCCCTCATTGTACGGTATATATCATGGAAAACTATTATTTGGAAACTCAATAAATTCCATGTAATTTTTATTACACCCATTTTTATTACACCCATGGGCAATCTTTTGCAGTAGCGGATGTTTTAGATAAATACAATATAAAGAATTATTCTCACAATAGAAACCACTGTAAAAATGGAAATCTTTACTATTTTCTACACCATTTCAGATAATTTTTTGGGCTATTTTCCACAACTTTTCAAACTTTTTTTTTATTTTCATTATTCCATTCATGAAATGAGCCCATAATAATAAAAGCATGAGGACCATGACATTATCTACAATTTCACATAAACATCCATAAATCAGGTGTCAAAGAAACTAATTGAAATTAATAATCAGTTTGGATGAGGTAACATGTACAATGTACATAAAATAATACGCTCATTGGGCAGGAATTTCAATAAATAGGGGTATGCAATGTAATAATTGAAAGATCCAGTTTTTATGCAAATGTATGCAAAGGAAGTAAGGTAAAAATTAAGATGAATTTGCAATCTAATTTGTTCAAATTGTTCACAGAAGATTGTGAAAAGCCGACCCCGTATAAAACATAATGTTAACTACATGCACACTCGTACAACAAGCCTCAATAGAAGATTCAAATAAAATTCCAGCATTAAACCTTAACATGTTTTCTAACGACTACATGTCTATGATTAAACTAATTTCACACTTCACAACATGGCATACTCTGAAATGAATGGGATTAGAAATTTCACACATCTAAGTCTCAGGCATTGCAGACATTCAAATTATGCCTTTTGTCTGTCATGCTGCAGCAAAAAAGCTACGGAAACAAATTACCAGAGGTGATAAAATGCCATACTCTTTCACGGAAATTAAAAACTCATCTAGTCATACATGATTAGACTCAATGACTAACTTTCAGTTTTACTCTGCAGAGTATTTTTTTTATTTTTTCACATGCTGAATACTGTAAAACATGTTGAAAAAGCGACGTACTATTTTAGTGAATTGTGCTAAAATGACGTACCGGTAATAGCGAAATGTTAATTTAGCGAATCTCTTTTGTCTTTGTTGATTTCCTGTTTTCACAATACTTGTCTGTCGCCTGCCAAAACAAATGTGCAGTTATCACCTCTGTGATATCAAAACTGTGATTTTATAATGAACTCCTTAGCGACATCTTCAATTAGTGAATTAGTTCGCTAAATTCACTAAAAATACATGCTTGTGAAAAAGACATGTTTTACAGTTCGCCGTCAAGTTTTAATCAAGAAATATGGAGAGGTATAAGGAATAAATTATGCTTGAATTAACTAATCACAATATCATGTGAAAAAAGTTTAAGTCAATTATTGTTTTTGAATCCATAAACACAGATATATAGTAGACTCGCACATAAATAAACAAATATACATATTTCCAAACCTGCAGTAGAGTTTCCAATACAAAATTGGACAGTATTATAAATGATTTCTTTTCTATATTATCTTATCTTTTCAATGTGGGTATATGAGAAGATCAAATCACTTGGGGGAATGATAAATATAATATAAATTATTCACAAACCATGGAGATTGCTCAATATTTTATCTACCTATACTCGTAGGACGAAAAAAAAATAACCTCAAGAAAAATGTAACAGATTCATTACATTGATTATTTACACGTGAGATAGTTTAAAATTTCATGTGTTAAAAATTGAATATCTCAAGTTATCTCAATCTTAATGTATAATGTTTTATTATTTATTACACAACACAATTTAGGAGTGACTTTAAAAATCTCAGGAAACTAATACATATACTAGTAGATGATAGATGACGTAAGATATTGTTATGGTATTTTTTAATTTAATTTTGAGTGGTAGATGCACATTTTTAATTGCATTAATAATACAATATAACAACGAAGTATTATCTGGATTAATATTTGTGTTAAGATGCACCAACTGATATTATATTTAATAGTAAGCAGATAAAGGGATTATGATTTAATATACTGGATTGATTCCAATTCCATCTTCCCATTTTTTTTAAATATTTTTCCATATTGTACTGAGATGATTACATATTGGATTGGGCGACAAAAATCATTAAACAAAACACTGTTACAGTATTTAATATACCACTCTTGGTCATGTGACCAATTTGTTCCTAGCTGTGAGTACATTTCTGTAACTACACACTTTTGTTACCGTAAAATCTGTATTAGAAGACGCATCCTTAATAGAAGTTGCACCCATTCTTTTTGAATAATTGAAAACCAAAAATTCATCATTTCTCATATGTGTAGATGCTTTAATAGAAACCACATTCTCTCTGTTGTACTGTACCATTTTAATAGAAGCCGCAGCTTCTAATACAGATTTTACAGTACTACATAGATCGAAAATCATCATAGTTTTTTTATTTTTTTTTAAGGCAAAATAGTAATATAGTTCTTTCATATGCAGATTAGATTTTGCCACAGTTTTCTTTCTGCATATACATAAATGTAAACTATTAATTTGCACACATTTTAGGATCTGGCATTTCTGGCATTAAAGCTTGCTAAATGTCAAGGATTGAACTTTTATAGGTGAATGGATTTTCCCCAACTATGAAGAAGTTGGCCAAGCCAGGTTGAAATGATAAAGTATTTATTTACTAAATAAGGCCAGACTTTTTTTATTCATTGTTTCTCATCTGCGCGAGACTTTGGTACTTTGATCATGATACTCCCACGAAAATGCAACTTGGATTTGTTATGCGGCAGGCGGAAAAAAAATAAAGATAAAAAAAATTTTTTTTTAGTAATTTTTTGCACTTACAATTTGGCGGGCGCAAGAAATTTGCTGAAATAAAATTTTATCTTTATATCATTTTCGACTCCTGATCATTCGGCGGGTTCGTGAAACAAGGGATAATAAAAGTCTGGCCTAAGCTAAGAAAATAATGCAGGTCATATCATTAAGAGTATATTCATGTACAACAAATAAAAATCTTTAGACTGCCAAGAGATTAGCATATATGCATATATTTACCTCGACCTCAGCATCTGGTCCAAGAATATTCATCCAATGTGCTTTGATTGCTTCTTCAGCTTGAGGAGATAAATCACTTGCTGTAAATAAATCACAAACAAGATTAAATTTATACATGCATTGGTTGCCTGATTTTATTCTTATACTGGTTGATAGTCATATAATAATTAAAATTAGAATTTCTCTCTCAAAATGCACTGCCATATGCTCAATAGACTTCAATTCCACTTGAACCTCTCATACAGAAAAAATGATACTGTTTGATACTTTTTTTTTATTTTATTTTTTTTATAAAGTTTTTGTGCCAGGTGAGACAGTTCTGGACATTGAGTATCACTGTTGTCTTTCCTGACTTTTTTTTTTTAGTGCAAATTGCAAGTGCTAGTGCTGAAACATAGTGCATTTTGCCACAGAAGTCATATTCATGTTTGGGACTAGATGACAGGACTGTGTGGCCATATCTCTATCAAATGGAAATGTTAATGCATCAACCAGGCTTGGTCGAACACAAGCACCTGCGGACCTTAACCAAGGTTCCCCCAAAGTCGCATTCGTTAGTGAATGAATCTCAGCCAGTGGAATAGACCTTCACATTGAGTCTGTGGCACACTCACCCAGGGTAGGGCTCGACCCTTTTGATGTTCAGCCTAAGGTAGGATTTGAACTTGGGTCTACCGATCATGAGTCTGATGCGACCGACAACCACTATGCTACCAGTGACCGGTTACTGTTTGATACTTACTATAGTCATCATCCATATAGGCTGCATTATTGACTTCAACATAAGGTGGTGGTGGGGGTTGTTGATTTTGTTGCTGTGGTGCTACAAAGACACTGCTTGGAGGAAGATAACCAGCCAACATATCATCCTCATCACTATCATCAGAACCAGCGACCAAATATGCAGCTGGTGGACCTTGTGGTTCTGCACAAGACAAAGGGAAAATGGCGTTGAAAAAGAAGCTACGTTTGGTTAAATGAAAAGCCACCATAATACAACAAACAAACAGCCTGACGGCTGAGATAGCTCCGCTGTTAGCAATGCACGTTTCAAATAAAGAACTGAAGATATCATTAGAAAATGAACAATCTGGGTGAGGTCCACATGTAGTACCTATATATGTAATATCAAAGCAATCAGACTTGCGGTTTTTAACAAAAGGTCAAAAATATCACTTTTTACTAAAAATTACAAAAATATTCTCCAAAATTAGAGAATTTAAGATATCAACACGAAATGAACAAATCTGAGAAAGGTCCACATGTATCATCTATATATGTAATATCAAAGCAATTGGACTTGCGGTTTTTAACAAGAAGACGAAAATATCACTTTTTACCAAAAATGACAAAAATATTCACCAAAAATAGAGAATTTGAGATTTTGTCATGAAACAAACAAATCTGAGAAAGAACCATCCAAGTTACTTGCATATCAAATTGAACAGCTAAAAACAGAAGTTAAAGCTAACCACAGGCAAAACAATTTTCATTCTGCTTTACTTCTATGGATTGAAGAAGTTAAATAACATTGACCCTGAGGGCGCTGTTGCAAAATAGTTGCTAACACAAAAATGCTAGGCAAGGATTATCTAGCTAATGTGTTAGGGAAGAGTAGGAAATCAAACTGGCAGTGCACCGGGATCATCGCCGTCGCTCTCTGCAGAACGCTTTGTGATTTCATTCCAAGGCTCAGGCAAATAAATAGAACATTTATCACTGCGGCGATGACCACAGTGCACCGCCTGTTTGATTTTCTACTCTCCCTTTACTCTATTTATTATGCAAATAAAATAGAAACAGCGCCCTCAGTGTTGGGTAATGGTTGATGTATTAAACCCATAATGTAGTGCAATAAGTGGCAATATATTACATTTTTTATTTTAACTTCTTGAAATCTCAAACTTCACATGCAACTAGAAAGTAACATACCTTCATCAGTGAATGATGATGCCACAGCCACAATATCAGTATCTTGATAGACTGGGGGAAAAGTTTCTGAAATGTAAAGTGGGATACAAGTAAGAAGTGACGTCTTATGTTGAACACAGTGCACCACCCAAACTGCGTCTAGACTACTATTTGACTCACAATTTTGTAATTATTTCATTTTCAAAACAGTTACATTATTTTAGAAAACCTAAAATAAACAAATTATCAAAATAAAAATGTGTTTCAACCTTTGAATGCCATAATTTAATACATGTTTGTGTATTATAATTTGTTGAAATCTGATTGGTTAAAAGTCTTGATGACAAATTGTGGAAACAAAAATAGATACAAATTTATTTTGTAACCAAAGGGATAATAATCATGGATATCTTGGTATAAGCATTCAAGTAATTATACTGAACTTGTGTAATGTATGAGGCAGTGTGCCCTCCAAGCTGAAATGATGAGTTTTTTTAGTGGTGCAACTCATTATGCTCATTCCCTAGTACAAATGTATGTCAATGACAACAGACAATATATATTTTAAAAATCATGTGTGATTGGGTCAAGTGCAATTTACATTACCTTTACAAAAACAGTGTAATACCGAAGGAAATCAGTAGCCAGAACATTTTAGAGTGCGACTTCAAAAGTCACCTACAAACAGTCTTCATTTTTATCTTGAATGCATTGTTCTCAAGCAATAGTTAACCAAGCATGGTTTATGGGATTATATTTTGATCTGAGATCCTGACAAAAATCAAGTCCTGTTCAAGGGCACACTGGTAAGAGAACTTACCATATTGTGATTCTGATGATGGTGGTGGTGGTGGTGGTGATGGCTGTGGCGGCTGTTCTACAGGTGATGGTTGAACAATGCTACCTGCATTGTATCTCGCAAGTTTTAGTTTTACAACAGTTCCGGTATGTCTTAACACATCCACTGCTTCCTTGTTATCATATCCATCCAGACTAGTCCCATCAACCTGAAATCAACAAGGCATGTACAGATAAACAAGACATTGTGATTAACAATTGTATTCAAAAATAAATATACATTACAAGAGGGTTCCAACGTCAGCAACCTGTACAATCTACAACTGAATTAGCGTCCATGTCTGATCAATTGTTAACCCTGCCTTTGTATGATTTGGGTTCAAGTTTAATTAAGCACCCACCACTTCTGAAATGCCCCCAAATTTGACTGACTAATTATGACAAGTCATACATACATTTTTGTGCCAAGCAACATTTCCAGGCACTAAGTCACTGCTGTCTCTCCCGGTGAATTCATACTTGCAAAGCAGAGTCCCAAATTTAATATCATGTGTTTGGAAGGCAGGGCAGACTGTACTCGGATATATACAGCTGTGTAAACAACTGATTTGGGAAATCAAAGCCAGTACCTTCCATGATGTGAGGTGAACATGCTAATCAATGGAACCACTTCAATAAAAAAATGAATTTACTCACCTCAATGATCTGATCATGAACTTTAACTTTTCCACTTCTATCTGCAGTACTGTCTTTGGCTACACTTTTCACAAATATTCCAGACACATCTCCTGCAAGTACATGTATGAACAGATTTTAGCAAGTCTTCAAAGGTTCCACCACAGTGTTTTTGATTTAACACCACACTGGTCTGACATTGCTACAGTCATTATTTTGACTGCTACAAATTATCAAATCATTATAGAGGGACTGTGATTACTGTAAAACATGCCTATTTAGCAAGCATGTTATTTCAGCTAATTTAACTACTGGGTAATCTGTGATTTCGCTAATTCAAGATGTAGCTAATTTAACAGAAAGTATATTCTCAAAGGAAGATAGTCAACACTTTAGCTAAATTACGATTCCGTTAATTCATGCCAAGAGGCAATTCCGCTAAAATTGCATGCAGCTATTTCAACATGTTCTACAGCATATGCATGCGGTGCAAGTGTTTTAATGAGTTAATCATTAATCAAGATACTCATTACAGGAGCTGTTAATTATAAAAATAGTATGCAAAATTGTAATGCCACAGTGATTTCAATTATTGGATTTGATGTTTTAAAATAATACATTTTGTACCAGAGACTATCATCTTCAAGAGATTATCAATCTGCCATAGAGGGCGCCATCTAACAAAAATAACTTGAATTGAAAATGATATTATGCACTATCAAAAGCAGAGGGAATCTTACCACTTATACCTTGTCCAACATAACCAGCAATGGTGATTCCTAAACCCATGGAGTCTTTCACCAATTCCACTTCAAAGACTTCCACATCTAAATCAGTTGTCTATAGACACACAAACAAAAATTAAACTTTTATGTTGTACATCAACTTTAAAGTCAATATTTGTAAAATGTGCGAGACTATAGTGAGAAAATGCTTGCTCTCTAGCCTCATAACATTTTACCAATTGTGATCTGTAATTATTTTCCTGCAATTTGAGAATATTTCTACCATCAAATATTTTACATACTACATGTAGTCTCAAGACCCCAATAGCTCCATCACATTGTATAAGAATAATCTCAGAGTACAACCTTGAAGAAAAGAATCAATATAAATAGGCATACATTGTATTCTTCCTTCATTTTTTCTTTCCTGAACAATTGTCATCTGCACTATATACATTACATCACAATAGAAGAATAGAATAGAATAATGCTTTATTAATACCATAAAGAAAGAGTTAACATTTCCTTTTAGGTTTTCAGATTAATAAAGTAAATAATAAAAGTACATGAAATATAAAAATTGATTTAAAAAGAATTCAATATTAGTGAACGACAAGAATACTACAGACAAATATTAATAATATAAGAAATATTAAAATATGAATAACTGGACTGACCTGCTCTTGCTGTCGATGTAAGTTATAATCCTCATCTTGTTGAGGTACAGGAGTTGATGACTTGGCTGCAGCCACCACAGGTATACTTTGTTGTTGGTTTGAAGACAGAGATGACGGCTGTTCTAGCATGGGGTTTCTGGCGACAGTGAGCGTGACTGTACTGCCTGACTGTCGCAGCACAGTAGCCACATTCTCACTATTCATACCAGCAAGACTTGTGTCACCGATCTTCAAAATATGATCACCACTTCTAAGCCTTCCATCCTATGAAAGAATATTGTGATTAAGTCATACCACTACAGCAGCAACAACAACTACAATGTCAACATGGACAACTGTGCGTACTTCTACAATATGGAATGCAAGTAAAACTTTTCGTGTTCATGCACAAACCAGCCAAGGGGTCTGACTTAACAAGGAGGATTACATTGTACATGTAGCATGGGGAAATTCTGTATTAAATGTGTTAAATGCACCAATAAAAACACCTTAGACATGGTGGTGATTGCCTTTGTTAGTTCTGTGAAGTTTAGGCCTGGTGTTGAAGTATGAATATAGTACATGTACATGACAAATTACTTATTTTCATTTTGAATGCATTTCCTCTGATAAACAGCGGATAAATGGATTGCATTTCTGTTTCAGAATACAGTGGTCTCTCGCTAAGTCGCAGGTGTCAGGATCCAAGCAAAAACCATGACTTATCGAGGGAGGCGACTTACCGAGTATTTAATTCATCAATCAATCAACATTCTGCTTAACAATGTAGAATTTCATACATGTGATGGTACATGTATACAATTCTCTTAAAATTATAGTTTATAGAAATAATAAAAAATATAGCATTGTAAAGTAGAATGTCAATGTACTTACCCTGCTTGCCACACCTCCTGGTAATATTGTTTTCACCACAACACCAGCACTTTTACCACCGATAATGCCAAATCCTAAACCAGTTCCATCATTGTGCAAGACGATCTCTTCAACATGCCCCCATTGAATAAATGGATGCTCCTATAAAATAAACTCAATTCAGTATAAAATTCACCTTTCCATCTCATTCAGAATAGATTTCAAGTAGAGGACAAGTGGATAAAACATGAAACAAGCAGAAAGTGAAAAGCACTTACAGCAGTAATAACACCGGATTGTTGCGAGACAGAGCTCACAGCTGATGGTGTTCTATCCAGTGAAGGTGTAGCTGATCTGACAATCGGAGCAATGTTAGGTATGCCTCCCCTCGCTACTACCAACTCTACAAGACCCTGAGCTTGTTGTAGGATACCAATAGCTTGCTGATGAGATATAGATGCATCTAATGGTTGCCCGTCTATTGCTAGTATCTGATCACTTTCTTGAAGTCTACCATCACTGAAAACAGATGAATCAAGTATAATGTATTCTGTATAACGTGGCAATACCGCCACACTGGTCTGACTCTTCCACAGTCAATATCCAGACTGGCGAATAGCTATTTCTACTACGCCAATGCTTATTTTTTTTTAAAATAATTAATTCTCAATAAATTACATAAACATAAAACTTGTATGAAGTTAAAGTAATAACAGTTTGGTAAGTCAACAATGTAATTTCTGTTTAAAATAATAATGCAAAAAATATGCACATGTTATGCAAATTAGTATGTAAATTTTTCAACACTACAGTGGTTTAAATCTTTGGGGAGAACACTGGTACGCAAATCCAAAATGAATCCAAATTAATTTTAAATATGGAAGGATTTATATTTCTTATTCCTATTCTCAGGAACATCTAAGCATTTTCACCACCTGGCAATCATCATTGGTGAAAACAAAAGCCAAAAGTTTTCAGGAATCGGTACTTTGGGCCAGTTGTTGAGACTCTCCTGAACAGTGCAACATATATCAATTTGGTTGCTCGGGATTACTTCAAAGTTAAGTTTGTGCTGTTTCTGCGACTTTAGCCATTTTCATTGGCTCTTTGACCGGCGTTCCACAGCAACTCGAGTGAAGCCCATAGAAATGCATGGTACAGGCAGCGATACATCCATGGAACATTCTATGAATGATGTAGCTCCACCCCGAGAATAGTTGTGTTGAACATGTTCTGAAGCAGGATTCAAAACTGTGGTGCACGACAAGATTTTAGGTGGTCAAATAAAAAAAAATCAGTCAGACTTTGTAACCATAACTACAGATTTTGGTTCATTGCTCATTTTAGCATATAAACTATAAAGCTGAAGACATATATAATACTCACTGTGAAGCCACCCCTGTTGGCTGGATATCTTGTACAAATATACCTAGCTCTCCTCTATTTTCACTTTTCAACCCTACAACACTGAATCCCAAGCCACCTCCTTCTGGTTTGAATAACTGTATAACTTGAACTTCCCTTCCTTGCGAAGCCATCATAACAGCATGATGGAAATCAGAGCCATACTTCATCAATTCTTGACTGGAATCACCGTTTTCGACGACAGCTTTGGTAGTATACGGCACCGCACCACTACCCAAATATTCGGAACTTGGTTCGTCAGCATCATCCCAATCAAAAGCATCATTGGACATAGCATATTGTTGTAATGCTTCGGCTCTATCCTCTTTAGAACGCATAGTACGTGGATGCATTGGACGCTCTCCAGCAGACTCGGATAACACAAGGTCACCGGTAGGAGTGATATCAAAATCTGCCTGACCTCTGACCCTTGAACTTTCAACTTCATCTTTGAGCTCTTTCATAGAAATCTGTACATTGAGTAGCTGTTTAAACAGTGAGCTATCTAGCATACAGATGATAGCAGCAATGTCATCTTCTTGTGAGGCATCACCACTCGCTTGGAATTTCTCTTGAATTTTTTCTAAGATTGCCACAGCATGCTCCGTGTCTGAAAAGAATGGCATTGCATTACATTACGCATCCAAATTGTGGACATTAGTAGGCAACACAGCTGTATTCTTATATGTACATTCGTATTCTCATGAGCACATGTAATTGTTGTCAAATGCACTGCACTGTAAACAGTTTATTTCGCTGCTGAAAATGTTTGTAAAATTTTTCATTTTATGGCAGTCATGTCACTGACTCTGTGTTGTAGACCCCAGAAAAATATTCACTGCTAGAAAATTTAACGATTATTACTGACTCGTAAATTCATGAATATATGTCATTGCATAAAAGTTTACATTAAGCTATACTGTTTATTCAGAATCAAGGAAAAAAGAACCCCCGCTCTCAAATTCGGCAATGCCTTGGATAGAACTCTGAAGGACAATTTTACACACTATAAAAGAAGAGCATATTCCAATTTTTTGTTTGTGGAGTACACCAAACATCCACAAGCACTTATATTCCAATAATATAAGGACATATGCATGCCTGATACATGAAATACAGTACTGCTTTTGATCCAGAATCACATACATGTATCTAATAAAAGTGCACATAAATGAAAAATGTCATTTTTATGCACGCGCTAAATAAAGCATTATACGGTACTAGTGTATGTCACATGTACAGTCAATAAATTACAGCAATAATAAAGTACACATACCTGCAGTCATAGACATGATAAATTATTCAAATTTAATCACGTTAAAATAGTACTTGATTAAAAAATGTTGACAAGGCAACAACAGCAATGTTCTAGTTTATCTCTCTTAGGTGAATAATAAAAAACTAAGTAAAAATAGTTGAATCTGAAAATAAAAATAAAATTAATTAAGGGTTACAGTATTGGTAAATGAAATCACACTAAATTGAGAAGAAAGTGTGTTAATATTAATGTATGTGTAGTGTACAACTAACATCTGTATATAGCATGCATACATTTAGGGCCTGACAGTGACATTAAAAATAGTTCCAAGGATTATGTTTAGGTGATGAACTTTCAATTATTGTTGGTGAACAGGAATTGCAAACAACGAAATAATTCAACGCATTGTTTTTTTTTTCAAGTGTGTTTATGCTGTTCAACCTTTTATACATGTAGTTATTATTTCTATATTTTAGTAAATCGACACAGTCATAACAATTGCAAGGAATTTGACCCAAAATACCTTTCAGTTTTAAAACAATGAGGTGTATTGATCACATACATTGTGTAGAGAGAGTCAGAATAGGGATATTCAGTCTTATGGATACTAACAGTTTTCAACAACAGTATTCAACAATAATCAATTACACATATCATGTAGCAGCCTATTGTTGTCAGTAAATTGAGTAGCATTTGGTACGCATGAAGGTATGAAGGTGGATTCATGTCTCGTTCTGGGATACTGACCCAAGGTGCTCACACAACCAGTATAGTACACTGACTGCCAGGAGTCATGTGATATTTGAATGAAAGTATTAATGCATATAATTTATTGATATTGTGTGAAAATCAACCTTATTATAATATGGGCATGGATACTAAAAATATGTCCCATATATATATATATACTCAACAGAAAAATTCCTAGTTTAGAAGAAAATAATTTTGTTTATTTATTTATTTGACACAACAGTGACTAAAAATAGTACAGCAGTATGGATACTAATAACAGGTATTATCTACTATATTGTACATACTAGCACTTAGCAAAATGCATTGTCAGATGAGTATCCACAGTACTCAATAAATAAACATACAATCTTGGTTTAATTTTTCAGTAAGAGTTTCTTAGGAATCCTAACACTAACACTCCAGCACCCCATTGTACCCCAGTAATTAAATACTGTAGAATACTATATTTTTGCTTGGCATTTATTTTCGCTATTTTTGCTGAAGGGATGATTCCGTGTAAATAAAATCCAGCGAATATACTTTTTTCCTTATATTTCACATTAAACTCATCAAAAATCAGTGAAAATAAATTCCACACAAAATGACAAAAAAGCCTTTTCAGCGAAAATTAATTCCAGCGAAAATAAAGTATTCCACAGTATGCCCTCCAAATAATTAAAAGTTATGGGTGAGGGGGGCCCTAAAGAACTCTTACCAATTTTTCAAACTCTAGTAAGCTAATGAATTAGTAATGTACAATAGTACCATTGAAAATGAATTTCATTTTATGGTGGAGTGTCCCAAATACAGTGACAGACGCAGGTGTTCTGTTTGATACAGCTGCTGATGCGATTGAATCCTTTCACAACCTACCTCCTGAAAAACAGTTCACTGCACTGATAAATAAAGATAGTATTGTCATCCAGGTAGTAGCACAGTATATCAACAAGTGCTTAGACAACAAATACAGGTTTAATTAATATAGATCTTTCTTTTAGAAGTAGTTGTTTTACTGTTTTGTTTTTTTCCCATTAATATTCTGTTTCTTATTACTTCCATAATTATTAGTGTATTATTACTGTTTTACTTTTACTATTATAACCATTGCCACTCTTTCCGGGGAGTCAGTAAGTGCTAATAAATAAATAAAATAGTATTGTGAGCACTTACACAGTATACTGTTTACATCATTAGGGACTCGGATGCATATTATCTAGGAGTGGACGCAGAGGAAGAAGAGGATGTCCTTGAAAAATGGATCTGGCCTAATATAGTTACATGGATTATATACAGATCAATGGAGCATATTGGCCAACCACACCCCTCCTCTTATCCCCCCCCCCCCCCGGTGTGCAGGCCTCTACCCAAACACAACCTTTGTTTATCTATTGATTGCGTGGTTTCTTACCATTTACAAAGGCAGAATTTTACCGATATACAGTGATATCATCAGAGCATTAGAGTAGGTGTTTTTTACGAAAAACGGTACACGTAAATGTGGACATACCGGGCATACCGATCACGTTTGCAACCATAACATTGTCACTGTGTCGATACTTCGCACATAAATTTGATACATTCCAATGATATGCACGTTTAAATAGTATTAGTAAGCCAAATTTAATAATGATACTTACACAACAAGGTCACGTGGGTTGCATTGAACTTTCCCCGGTGCCCAGGAACCAAATGACAGTAAAATATTTGCAACTAAAATACGGGACGGCAACTCAGCTGGGAAAGCGTCCGATTAATGGCGGACATTGGCCTGTTAACTTTGAAATCAATCCGCTGTAAGCTCAACTACTATATTGTAATTTACCTTAATCAACAATGATATTTTTAGTTAACAGATAACACCTCCTATTTATTAGTAGTAGTAGTTTTAGATAAATTACGAGGTTTGTGGCGCAGACTGTGTCTTAACAATGTATAACTACTTTGAACGTAGCGGATGGAAATACACTCTGGTCAAAGGTCACCAGTGAACGATCCCTCAATTTCAAAATACAAGATGGCCGCTTCCGGGTTGTACATGTATGGCGCTCATGAAGTCATTATATTTTTATTCATTGTGTGTGTCTTTTGCGATGTTGTGGTACTGGCAACTGACGCCTGGGAACTTGAATGTGAAGATCTTCTAATGGGACAATATCCTTTATAATGTACTCAAGGGCTATTGTCGACAAGAGAAAAAGTAAGACGATCTATTTCGACTACATTGTATGTGATTGAATTCTCGTAAAATGTATATAAACTATGGTTCTTCAATTAGTTTTGTCATTGCATTTATTGAAGTCAATCAGGAAAACATTGTATATGGAGGTAAAAGGAAAAGTAAACAAAAAATGTATCTCGAAACCATGAAACTGCAAACCACGGGAAGAACAACGACTTTGTCTCTTTTGAAGTGTGATTATTGCCGTGGTCGCAAATGATTCTGTTGGCTGTTCATATCGTCGTGTAATTCAAATAACCATAAGTGACACGAAGATGGGTATATACAATTGAAATGGGGGAGTGGCACTGGGGTGGGGGGTATTAGAGTTAAGGGTGAGGGGTCCTAAAGGACTATTACCCCATCCCTAATCCTAACTCTAACCCTCATTCCAAGCCCCCCCCCCCCCAATTCAATTCTGTAATTATAGGTGTCCTTAGGAGGGGCATATACAATGAAATTGGGAGCACTCAAGGGTAGGGTTTGGATTAGGGTTATATAAGCAGCCTAAAATAAGATTTGTTCAGATAAGAGGCTACCGTTTGTGTGTACATACAGGTATCATGAAACTAGTAAAAATCTCTTTGTATACTCTCCTCTCTGGGTGGTTGTACCCTAAAGGGCATCAGTTTGTACACAGTGCGTGTTTGAATTTCATGTAAATGTATTTTACATGCCTTGTGTATGTCGCTATGAGTTCCATATTGAACAGTATGTGACGCAACGACAACCGCCTTTTAAACATAATATGGTTTCCATTCTTATGTTATATCCTTGACAAATTTCAAGTATTATTGTAGTAAACCTGACATTGACCCTGATACACAGGCACCCGAGGGATGCACTAAAGAAAGTACTGTGGCAGGTAATTGTTCACATATTATTGTTGTGTGATTTGTTCATAATATGTTAATGTACTATGAGTTATTAGTACCTTCAGACAGCAACCTGGCTGCCGGGTTGTACATCTAGGCCACACATGGGCTGGCCAGTCTACCTTCATCATGTTTACTATGCATATACACTATTTCCTCCTTCATTGGCAGCTTTAATAGATTTTTACTTTTTGTTACAGTGAACTGTTTTCCTGCACCAAATATCACATGTAGTGGTGTTACGTACAATGGTACGCAGGTTGGCTTTCAAAAGAATGTACCATGTAGATATACGTGAGTTTTTAAACATTTGAAATTGTCAATCAATGTACGAAAAACGGTACTTTTGAAATTGTACAAAACCAATTCAATATGCATGTAGTTGTACACCTGTTCAGTGTTATCTCCATGGAAATAGCATAGTGTTGCGGCTAATTTGTGTAACAAAATATAGTGTTAATCACTTCTATGTTCATTTTATGCTAATTTGACTCTATTCTATCTGAAATTACACTACTGTAAAGTCATTAATCATTCTCTGGTTTTAAATTTTGCTATTTTCACTGACAAGTAACATTCGCCTAATTAAATCCATGTGAACATTGAAATAACAATACAACTCATTGTTTTCCTTCCAATTTTGTGAACTTGAAGCCCAATGTAATTGCTCAAAACACCAAAATAGTGAAATTAATGCCATTGAAAATGAATAGTTTTACAGTACCTCCCCTACTCCATACTGCTCTGTAGTTGAGAAAAGTGGTTTATTAGTCCCCGTTCGAATGAAGTCCGAAAACGGGGACTTATAATTCGGTCTCCGTCCGTCCGTGTGTCCGTGCGTCTGTGCGTCCGTCCGGAGTCATATCTCAGAATCCCTTGGACCGATTACGTTCATTCTTTGCATGTGCCTAGTACTTTATGTGGGACATATGCACATGCAGTGGTTTATCGATTCGATTAAAAATGGCCGACTGGCAGCCATCTTGTTTTTTGAAAATGTTGTATTTTGGACATGCTTTGTCAGTTTCCATTCAAACTTGATACATAGATTATACATGTTAGGATACATGTCCATGATGATTTATTTCACAATTGGATCAAAGATGGTTGACTGGCAGCCATCTTGTTTTTTGAAAATGTCGTATTTTGGACATGCTTTGTCAGTTTTCATTCAAATTTAGTACATAGATCATACATGTTAGGATACATGTCCCCGACCGTCAGTGAGTTCCTGAGTCCGTCAGACCATCCGTGTGTCCGTCTGTCCGTGCGTCAGTCTGTCCAACGTCATATTTCAGAATCCTGTGGACCGATTCCGTTCATTTTTTTGCATGTGCCTAGTACCTTATGTGGAACATATGCACATGCAGTGGTTTAGCGATTCGATTCAAAATGGCCGACTGGCAGCCATCTTGTTTTTTGAAAATGTTGTATTTTGGACATGCTTTGTCAGTTGTCATTCAAACTTGGTACATAGATTATACATGTTAGGTGACATGTCCATGACGATTTATTTCGCAATTGGATCAAAGATGGTCGACTGGCAGGCATCTTGTTTTTGTTTTTTTATGCGGTATCTTGGACGTGCTCTGTCAGTTTTCATTCAAATTTGGCACATACATGTACTTTATACATGTTAGGATGCATGTCCATGACAATTTGTTTCAAAATCTGGTCAAGGATGGCCGATTGACAGCCATCTGACTTTTTGGCCTTACTACTATATTTCCACAATTTTTGTACCATTTTCATTCGTATTTGGCACATACATCATACATATCAGTGTGTTTCATAATCAGATCAAAGATGGCCGAATAACGGCTGTTTTTATTTTGGCCATATTACTATGACACGAAACACGTGTTTTGATGTAAATAAAAAATCTGTTGTATACGCCACTTGGAACTCAAGTTTCAAGGACACACTCGCGACAACCCATCCGCTTTAATATGACGAGCACAAAGAGAACTTAACGGGGACTGTGTCATTTTCAATGACTTGTTGTTAAAAGAAACATCATATTGTATTCGATATAGGTTCTATAAAAAGTTACAATGACAAAAATATAATAATTGTTCACACAACATTTGAATGTACAATGTTATAAGTAATATATTGATATAATTATAATTATAATAATTGATTATGTTTCAGTAATGGGGTCTACTATGAAGTATCTGTGCTGTTATCAATATTTCTTGGAATGTTTGGCATTGATAGATTTTACCTTGGATATCCAGCTATTGGTCTCCTCAAATTTTGTACATTAGGATTTTTCTTTCTTGGTCAACTTATTGATGTTATTCTCATAGCATCTCAGGTAGGTGATTTTCTCTAAATTTGAGAATTGTTGCCATTTTTGAGGAAAAGAAACTCAATAAGCCACTTAACCTTCTTCTCCAGTTTAAAGCAATTCACTTTTATGTATAAATCCTTTGAGCAACAACGCAGCAATGTTTTTTTTCGAAATTTTGCCATTTTTATGTTTTTTTTCTATATATTTTTTTTGATAATTTTGGACCAAAAGGACATAATTTCCTATTGGCTACAAGTGTTGTCCAAAATTTTGGAAAAATTATGAAAAGAATTATGCAGGTTAAAAATTTGTGATTGGTGCCAAAATGCATGGATTAATTGAGGTGCGGGCATTTGATATGATGCAATCTCATGCATTCATGGTTTAGCGAGTCAAAAAATAACAAAGTAATAATAAATTGTATTCCCAAATTAAATTGCCACCAATATATTATTGAGTGCAAAAGTGCCTCAAACTTGTTTTTACCCCCTCCTCAAATAGTTTTACTTTCTCACAACCATCATCATGACCACAGTTCTCCTGACCTATGTAACCATAGTATTTGAAACTGTAAGACTAATAGAAAATTATTTGGGAGGCAAAAACAAATGGTGGGACTCACTCTTGCGAGATCTCAGCAACTCTTTCAAATTTCTGATCAGTTAATTGGGAAAGTCTGTCTTCAGAATAATTTGACACTAACACATTCTATGCTGTCTGATTAACTGCATTGCAGTTACCCTGTAGGTCTTTATTCTCATTTGTAACCTTTTCACCTCCGGTTCCCGCTTTTCATTACAAATTCACAAAATAATCCTCTTTATATCCTGCACTTTCCATCAGATGATTAGGACAAAAATAGCCAAATATTGTGAATAAAAACTAAAAATTGACTCAAATTTTGTCTATTGGCTGTTGGTAAATTTCAAGAAATATTGAAGAATATATGAAAAACATGCAGACAAATTTGGGCGAAAAAGTCTGGTGGTGAAAAGGTACACTAGGATCTTCGTGCCAGAAATCTGGAGGCACACTTATATACTGTGTTTGGCTCCACATACACTCTCAGGCAGGTTGAATATGACATAACCATCTGGCAGCTAGAAAGATACAATGAATTTTTCTTACTTTTCTATTCAGTTTTTGTGTGAATTGTATTCAATTTTTTTTGCCAATAGTAGAAGTGAGTGTATGAATACATGAATTGTATCCATATCTACCATGTTCAGCTTATATATTGGCATCAATTGTTTTTTATTCAGGTTGTTGGCCCAGCAGATGGTTCTGAATACATTATAGATGCCTTTGGAGCAAGGCTGATTCATATAACACTTGATAATGAGACCTTTTACAAACCACCTGATTATTGGTGATTATTGGCACCTACCGGGACAAATTGATATTACAACATTCATTTACAACAATGCAAAGCATTTTCACAAACAAAGCAGTTCAGAGAAGATGCCAAGCATGTCTGGAAATGCAGAATTGGAGTAGTTTTTCAGGATCAGTGAAGGCAGACGGCTGTGTGTGTATTTCATGGTAGAAAAAAACACAGATTTGAACATGATTGTGACTGTATATATTGTGATGGACAAAGTAGAGCTGGGCTCTACATGTATTTTGTGATTACCAAACACAGAGTGAAAACAGGGTTGTATATCTGGAATAGCTCACAAACTGATGCAAGTTTGTATCTATTGCTGGCTATATCATGATGTTGATAACTAAATGATAAAATGACACATTGAAGCAAGACTAACCTATATCAGTGATTCTGCTTAATTGCATATGTTTTGAATGTAAACTATTAAATATTTATTATTCAATTTTCATTCAAGTTGTTTGTTGTGCTTACTCATTACCAGTTTGTGTTCTGGTTTGGCCATGTTATTGTTCTTCTTCACTTAAAGAGGAAGTCAAGCCAAACAACATAATGCTCCCTAAAGAAAGAGCTTCACAAATGTAGGAGAATGCAATTTGCCGTTTTTTTTATATTGCTTTTCATTCTCTAGATATTCAACTTGTTATAAGTGTTATGTAGTCTGCCATCTTGATTCTCCAGCAAAGGATTGTGGGTAAAGTATGACAACATATCCACTATTGAGAAAATTCTTTCATATACAATTTGAGACAGTTTGTGTGCTCCAAGTTTCTTAAATTTGTGTTTTAGAGATCGTCACTGCAGTTGATTTGGTCGCAGTTTCCTTAATTATCACCAAAGTAATTTACAATATATACCTCACTTTGTTTCAACTATTGCAAATGGCAAAAGAGTAATTAACATAACAGCGTTTTCGACCTTTATTTCACGATTCACATCTCAAATTTTTGTTTGCCGAGCGCCTCTAATATATAACCTTTCTAACTGCTGGGCTGAATTAATGATATCCCCAAAACATCATAGAGAAAAATGGTCCTTTTTGACCTTTACCTTTTTGGTCTTGGAAATGCGATGGCGTTAAGACTCGATTTTTGAGGATGCGGGTCGTTTGGGTCGATTGCTTAAACACTTATATATTATGTTGAATGGTATTGTGGTGTCTTACATTATAGTATCCATAATGTTTCAAAGTAGCAATTTTGATTGCTGTACTATAATGACTAGCTAACTCCAACGATTCCAACCGTTTTATTTGAGGCCAGTTAATACAATGCAGGATTTCTGTTTTTATTAGACTGTATTGCCGTCAAACAATTCCCTCATGCTGCCCAGTTGAAATTTCGGAATTACAGAACAAACCATTTTTATTTCATCATGATCTAGCATATAATTATCAGAATCGGTGTCATTTGCATTCAGTGTCTGATTCACTAAATTCAATATAAAATTAATTGTATAATTTGGTGAAGTGACTAACTTGAAAATAAATTGGTAAATTGCGTATGTATAATTGAACTGTTACGTTTAAATGTAATATTTCTCAGATTTCTATAATTCTGTTTACTTGCGAAAATTTTGTTTCAAAGCGATAAAAGCGTTTAAAAAAGATCAGCTCACGTTATTACGACATTACCGGTACTAATAAATTCAGCGTATTGTATCTAAAATTCTGACTAGCAAGTGTGTGTATGTAAATGTACCACGTTTTTGTTCACTAACTTTGTCGTGCCAAAGTAACGTCATTGATATTGACAATCATCAAATGTGTACAGCACATTATTAAGCATGGAAGTATTCCCCAAATACGTTCGCGTTTGTCAAATCCCACGAAATGTTTGTCGCCACTACGACGCCATGACCTTTGTTTGTCGCGTTTTTACGTTCGATTTCATTCATAACGCGGGATTTTTCAGTGAACGGAAAATGGTCTATTTAATATGATCATCTTGTCTTTAATACATAAGTTTTCACGAACATTTTTAAATCAAAATAGTATGAATGATATTATTTAAAATAATTAAATGTCAGTATCAGTATGAAGTAGTTTTAAAATTAAACACAAATCAACCAGTCCATCAAATGTAATATACATATGCACAATAACTTTTATACAACTATAAGAACACACTGCCTACTAAACATCACAAGCCTTATTGGTACGTTGGCACAAAGCATTTTCAATTCAGTGTCACAATATTGCTCAGTAGTACTTGAGTACCACCACATCATAATACGGAGTACGCTATCATGTATATGCGTATTACAACAAGATGATGACATTCAGTTGATATATTTACATTAACTATTTGTATCAATTGAAACCTAAATGTGTAATACCGAGCATTTGCAAAACCTATCTCGTCACGTGAGGCTCCATTCACGGGAGCCACATACCCAATGTGTGCAGCAATATTTCTTTGATAACACTAACCATGTTGGAATGAAATATGTTCTGAATCATGGTATACAGTGCTGGACAGCGGTCCTTGCCGCTGAATGTAAGTGGCAGTATGAAATAAAACTATGAAACAAAACGTAGACTATAAAACTCTATATATAAAAGGCATAAACAACATATACTACAATCTGGACTTATTGTAGCACGTTGGACCCTCTTCGAAATTATACATCGCACAATGTCCACAACAAATTGTGCGAACGAATGATATTTACCATAATAGAAACTAAAAAGTTGTCATCCATATTTGAACCGTACATGTACAGTTCAGCATAATTAATTCATGTTTCATATGATTATTATCGTGCGCAGAGATGTTCAATACACGGATGGATTGTGGAGATACAATATCGTTCCTTATTCCAATAATTAGCAATTCATATAATATGCTAGGCTCCTGTGGTATGCGTGGAGTGGTCTAAACTTCACTAAACTTCAACCTATTTTGCATTTATATATTATTTTTTGTTATTCTGTGGCAATTTTATAAAACAATAGTCAACATGCAAAACACACAACTATGGTCCTGGTGATTTTATGTCATATTAGTCACGTGATTGATTGAAAAGTATTTTTTAGCAATACACAGGCAGATTGTTACTAGACTTGCTTGGAACGTGTCACGTGTTTTGCTTCAGTATTTTATTTACTCATTTATTTTCTTTGGCGTCACTTCTGATATCGCATAACAATAATTTGGCAAAGGAGAGAAATTTATATTTGAGGTGTAAATTTTGCTAGAAGACAAAATGTAGACATTGGCACTTGGTTTTATATCATAACGGAACACGAGCCCATGCCCATGATAGTAAAAAAAAACATAATTGTACTTAACCACTTACGTAAGTACATGTACTGCCATCCATTCAATTTCTATCACAGTGGGTCAGTACAGTAACCACTAGATAAATTTGTATTCAGAATTATTTGACAAGCGTATTTTTAACGTACATATCCTCAGATTGTAGCTATGCTTCCTATATTTTTGTCTAGCTGCATAGTTTGTTCAAGTTACGAATAATATAGTATCACGATTACAATCTAGATTGAGAAACTACAAATTAAGCACATGAAGATTAATTATTAACAGTGGATGTAAATTGCGTGAATATAATGTAGGTAAATCTCAACAATCAATCAAATACGGTTATAGCCATCATATAGTGATAACAAAAGCCAACTTTGAAAGAGTGAAATTATTTATTATTTTATCGGTATTTCTGAACATTATACATTATTAAACAATTATCCAATTAGCGTTGATAACTATGTAAAATCTGCGATATACACTTCACATCCAAGAACTTATTTTTTTTCATTTAAGTTCTTTAGTTCCTCTTGTGGTCTGGTTTGAATTCCTCAAGCTGATCTCTTACCGCTAGTTTTATTTTTGTTTTTATTTTTATTTTCTGTTTTTTTTGGTAATGCCTAACACAAATATAGCCTATAATCAAAGAGGCACTATAATCAGTGGTATCATAACCTTTGCTGTCGTGCCTTGTGTAAAGATAAAAGGAAAAGTAAATAACGATTCCCGAAAAAACACACAATTATCTACTACTAGTATTTATTGAAGATTTGATTACCAGGACCGCTACTTCCGTCATTAACTGAATCATTTTCGCTACTGGCTGTTAATCCTCTGTAATCTGCAAAGAAAACGAAAAATATAATCTATTAAGTTTATTTGAATGTGTTTGCAGAGTTTTTAGGTAATTTACCTGTCTGACTGGAGTGTAATTGACTCTTGACTGTTGAAGTAGACTATATAACAAAAAAAGCACATAATAAATGAACAATTTAAACTTTCCTCAATTCCGTAACATCTTACATGTGTGCAACCCTCTGTGCAACCCTCTGCGCATCACTGTGGAATTTCATCAGCATATATTTCCCCATCGCAAGAAACTGTCTGACACGTTTTCGTTACATTGGCTCTCATTCACTGAGTGACAGACTGATCGATATGATCTGTAGCCATAATTAAAACAAATTATCAAGTATACACTACATGCACCTTTGAAGGCGTTGAATAAATACGCTCAACATAATCAAAACTATAGCAATTACTCAGGAAAATTTTCTGTAAATTACCCCCAGGCAGCTGTATCTACAAATGATAATATGAATAAAATGGCCACATACAATTAAAACTAGAGATTATTTAATTGTTATTAAAAGGATACAAATTTACTGTTTTGTAGTGTTTACGATACAACTCCATGCACAAGTTTGTTCACAACATTATAATAATTCAAATATAATGACAAAACTTATCATTTTAAATTTAATAAATTAAATTGAATTAAATGATTAAATCCTTAAAAACTCAGACTGCCCCCCCCCCACAAACACACATCCTAATAACTACTCACCCACCAACAATGGAGCAATTAAGCATAATTAGGAACATCCTAGCTATAATTTTAGCATATCAGTTCTGGCAGACAAGAAAAATGCCGTGCAATAACACTGTATATTGCAAAAGGCTTCAAGATTTCAAAACATTCTCTCCTGAAACTGAAATCTAGGTCACTCTTATTAACCCTCGGTCAGTGTGACAGTGGCAGGTCTGTGCACTATTAATAAACATAATAAACAGACAAAGTCGCCTAAAATGAATCCCAAAATTATTAAATAAACCAGAAGTTTAACAATAATGTCTTATATGTAACAGCCCTTATCAAAATCTCTAAATTGGTTTGGGGAATCTCGTCAGGCATGACATGAAACCATTTTGAGACCATACAACAGTGAACAGAGATCACAAATAGATTCACATATTCAAAGCCAGAAACAATGAACCCGGATTGCTTGTTTGCACACAAAACTATAAAGTGGCAGTCCCGCCAAAAATGTCGAAGTGTGACCAATACAGTGAGTGGCTTAGTCACAGGATTATGCTGATTATGGAAATGCTACATACTGCACCATAAAGCTGCCAATACTGAACAGACCAATTAGTAACAATGACTATTGTAATAGCGAGCTCGGCGTCAAAAAACGAAGAATAACAAAAAAAATGATGTCAACTATAGAGGGCCCAACATGTATAAACAACGCGACTTCTGAAATGTCAGACAATCGTCCGCAGCTACTTGATACCTACAACAATCTTATCAACATCTATCAAGGGTACACCATCGACCAATCATTGATTGAAATTGAAAATCTGTTTGATAAAATTGATCGTCATCATCGTCATCACCGGCATCACCAACAGTCTTCTGTCGTGGCTGAACTACCAGTTGTACTTAACATGTAACGAATATTCAGATACAGGTAAGATTTTATTTATAAGAGTAATTGAATAAATCTCTAACATTTTTATTTGCGGTACCAGTTTGAGGAAGTTGGTTGAGGTCTGGATCTAGTTGGCTGAAGTCTAGATCTAGTAGCCATGGCAACAAAAATGTTTTAATGTTTTTATTCGTTGCCAAATTACGGTAACTTTGAGTTTTATGTAACTGTCTATAACATAAACCAAATGATCTGATTTTAGAGGAAATCTGAATCCGGTTGCTATGACTATATTGGCTCCCAAATATGAGTTAACATCTTAGCATAACTATGCTAAATCTGGGCGTGGTCATAGGTGGTTCCCATGACAATATATAAAATACATACAAACTGAATGCCGTTGTGGGAATTAGACATAATTCGGAATAATAATACTTAGCGATCATTGACAATATGAAAAACAACAATGCTCTTGACAGTGAATTATAACAATCCTGAGTGGCGGTGTAGAAACCACGAAAAATATGCCGTTGTAATAGTAATTATGAGATTTTTGAGTGATGATCATGGAGTAATATGTTATAATATTGTAGTGAGAGATTATTTATAATTTGTCTACAGTGGTGATTTTCATTATATTGAATTTTATTGTGATTTCAACGTTTTTGTATTTGTGTAACCTGGCATTCTATACATTTTCAGGGGTAAGAATTGAACTAACATGTGACATGCGTTCTAGAAATACTTAAATGCACTCCATAACACAGACACTTTAATAGAAGATGCGCATGACGAAATCGACAACAAGTTTAGTATATTACAATGAACTAGCGATAATACCCAGCACATGCTATTTAAGAACATATACGAAGCAAAACAATAAAACGTACAATGTATTTTAGTAGTGGTTGTTGTCATTTAAGCCGATTTACAAAACAAACGGCAGATATCGACGGACACGGCGAAGGCGTTACGTGCTTCGATTCGAACGCTACACAGCAATTAAAGCCAACGTTCCTTACTAGAAGTTTCCTCGCAAAAACGCAATATTATTAACATGTTTGACAATAATAACTTGTCTTGTTACATGCACCAGTCTCAGCAACCGTGTAGTATGCGTTGTAGTCTAAAATTCACCCAGTATAACATAGTAATTGCACCAACCACGAATAATAGTTCACAAATTCATGTTGTATTGAGAGTGAATTCGAGGGGTAAAGCCTCGAGCAAAACCCTAAAACAACGAGAGTAACATTGTTCATGCATCGTTGTAAAAAGTATAAACCGTGTATACTATGACACAGATATACTAAGTTAACAGCTATACAAATTAACAAAATACAATGTTTGTTGTTACAAGCCTGCATGCTTTAATTTCACTTTTGTACAAATAATAAAGTATATTTTAATATTGTAAGACACTCACGTTATGTATCACATGGTCCTGACTAATTGTCAATTAAATCTACAACATTTCATCCGAACGCCAATAGACCGACGTATGTTTATAAAATGACTGACATACAAACTGGTGTAAATATGGTGCAACAGATAAATCAATAATTTTTTTTACTAATGTTTACTTTTCTTAGCACGTTAGTGCGAAATGCATTAAATATTATGATAGTAAAAAACGAAGTGACCCACACTCACTCACAGATATGCATAGCCGATTCACCACTGAAAACTATCTAGTGTTCATTGATACAGTCATTAAAATAAAGAAACGATACGAAATATAAGAACTGAATAAAATACCAGTAATTGGATTGGCGTTTGATGTTATCGTTACCAGCTGGTAGGTGAGCATAGCTAACAATTCTATGACTCTCACCGTACGTATACCCATCTGGCACCCTATTTATGGTAGAGAACATATTGAGTTATGAATCAAGTAAATCACTTGCATTATACATACAACTGTCAGCATTTTCTAAACAGAAACACGGCATAGTTTTTGCAATGCTTATAGGTACATTAATATATTGAGACAACTCCAGCTCTTACCTCTTATTCTATTGGTGGCTCTTCCTTTCAGTAATTAAAATCGTGGTGCTTTCTGCATCAATTATTATTTTCTTCTTCAAAGTCGTAGATATTACCTTCACTGATTCTATTCTAATGGTAATCATGACACTTACCTGGAATAATTACGTTTAATGTTTTTTACTGTCACGAATTCGCAACTATAATAAAGGGAACCGTTAACTCGAGCTAAATTCTCGACAAGGTTTGAAACTCCAAACAGGGCGTATCCTGGTCATATCATTTACACGCAATGTTTTAATCTGTAGGATTCATAACTGCATCTACTGATGTTATGGTCTACCTCATTACTTGATGCAACATGCACATAGGTGAATTTTATGAATTAATTACCACTGTAAATGAGTGGTTTAAATTACTATGTGTATAGTGTGTGTAGTGAAAGTGACAATCCAATGAAATCAAACGGTACACATTGTATAGCAAATTAGTTTTAAAGAATTAAGTGAAATTATTATAAAATAAAATAAATTAAATAGAGATAGTTTGTGTATTTTTGTATGTGGAAGACGTGCAAGCCAATTCAAAACATAATGATGTGAGGTCTCTATTTTTCCATTTTCCAATTTGTGTGTGTGTGTGTGAAAAAAAACTGTGTTTTTTTTAAAGTACATAGAAAGAAATACCCAGAATGCACCAATATGTCTCGCGTGTCTCTTCTCTGTGAAGGCACATGGTTCAGTGACTAATGTTTTCAAATGTTAGAATTTCTATTATTTGGGATAGTTCATTAGCATAGATATAGACAGATATAGACCTAGTGTATTATTTGTTGGTGTGACAGTGACAATTGAATAATTGATAATAAAAATAGTCTACCCATTATAAATCAGTTATAATAAATAACGGCGAGAAAGGTATGTTATAAGACATAATTTCGATCTATGTTGCCCTTGACGTTATCTAAATTAGAATGCAAAACGAAAGTGAAACAACTGCGTTTACAAATTTATTCAAGCAAGTTGCTAATCAAAACACAGTCACTCTAACGCATGTGGTCAAGCATACTTTGCTGCTTTTTTAATTAAAAGTATAGTTATACAATATCAGATTACTCTGTTTGTAGACATGTTTTACCAGTTGTTTCCATCGCATATTAGTTCACAAGAGAAAATGTTATGTATAACATGTGCACCTAATTGCATATAATTGCCGCTCAGTGTCTTCGCAGGTATGTACGACCCGCCACCTGTGTGGCCTTATATCAGGGTCGACCACGCCCCCTATCTCACGATATGAAAAGAAAGTTTAATTCTAATCCGGACACAACACTCTTCATCGCTCTACAACGCATATTATCGTTATACAACACAATTCATCTCACTACACATCTTTTCGTATCGTTATACATCACTCTCTTCATATAGCTACACAATAATTTAAATATCGTGTTTAGATTTCCATATGTGAAATGTGTATACCATGTGACGCTCGTTGTCCAACTCAGGTGCCAATCAGCGACGACCTTACGGTTAGATGACGATTTCGGTTTCAAAACCCCGATAAAGTGTTTTAGGTTGTTCGTGTAGTTGTTCGGGGTGCTACTAAAACGAAGGAGAATAGAGGAGCAAAGGAACGTGTTTTTAAATGGAACCCGTGACTATAAAAAGCAGATCTTCGATGAAAACAATTATTTAATGTGACAACCTTGAGCGAACGTACAATTTTCGGGAAAGAATACAAATTCCCTGTGCATATATTCACTATATATAAGGAGAGTTTTTTCTGAGAATTATGGGCGAACACGTTTAAAAACACGTTCCAACGCCCCTTCGTTTTTCCACACAAAAACGACGAAATCGGCCGAACTTTGTTAATAAAGTTTGGTATGTTGTCCTGATTTTTAGGAATGTGAAATATTTGTTTTTTCAACTTGTCTCTATTTAGTTTTCAAACCTTATTCAAGATAGCTGACCCCCCACCCATGGTAAATATTCGTAAATTAGCTAATTTGTTATCATTTCTATGCCAGCTGACGAGTCGGGCAGGGTGCGGCGGACTTATAGGTAAATAGGTAAATGGCTGAATAGGTAAATGGGTGATGTGCGTACGAATTTACACAAACCACTTTTTTCCCCTTTGAACGAAGAAAACGTGTTCTATTTTAAATGTAATGTTTTCCCAAACTGCCAAGTGTGTATTTGTCAGGTGCTTCATTTTACGTGGGTAAAATTGTCGTCAATTCACACGATCATATCAAAACAACCTCATCATTTTCTAACACGCATACACAAATTTGCAGTGTTCTCAATACATTAGTACAAAAAGCAATAATTGACTGTGCATTTTATACGTATTTTATTTATATATATATTCACTGATGCTTAACAGAAAATGGCAAATTATTGCACAAAATGAAAAATGGAAACTGCATTGATCGAGCCTAACTAGTATACTAAACAACGTCCATCAAATGACATAGTCTACACAGAAAATATAATTTAGCAAACGAGTCTACATTGGTTTCACTTTCATTTCAGAGCATTTTGCGGAATAATAATAACCCTTCCAATGGTACCACACGTCTCCAGTAGCATACTCTGCTGTCTCCCCTCCTAGGTATTTACCATTCAAGTTTGAATAATGACATGTTCTGTACCACCAGGCACCGTGGTAGGTCACGGCACAGGATGTATCAACATCACTTAAGTCGTGTGTGATAAACCTTAAACCACTGTGATAGGTCAACGAATCTCCTAAAAGGGGAGACATTATAATCATGAGTAAGTTTATTGTAAATCAATTATATAACAAATATTATCTAATATCTTAGAAGAAAAATAAATTCTATGACATTCTTTTCTCATCACTCGATTGATATATTTTGTATTAGTAGCAGTGATGACTGTATTATATATTATGAATTGAACGTACAGACAAATGGGAAGAACACGATTGATATGATTCATCAACATGGGCAAATTGGTTACAAAACAAGACCTACAAATTAATAGACAAGCCTGCAAAAACTGTACTCTGTGGCTATAATCATTACGGACGCTTTGAGAAGTCACCAAATACAAATGTTCTCATTTCCAATGATATACGCTTTATCTCAGCGAGGGATACAGAGGCGGCGGCACGGAATGTTGTGCTGGAGGCGCGACATTACTCGGGGTCCGGGGCATGTTCCCTCTCAAAAAATGTGAAATATAGACCCGCTGAAATACTATTTCCTGCATTTTGAGGGGCAAAAAAAGGTTGCAGCTTGATTTCGGAGGGGGGACACCCCCACCATTTTTTTTGAGAGGTCGACCATCCCTTTTGCCCCATTGTGCCGCCGCGACTGGTATTGCTTAGCTGTAGTTTGTGTGTGTTACTCGGAGTTTCAATAGCGCTTATGTACATTCAACAAAGTATATTTTGTCTCAACACAGTGTACTTTGCTCTGTATTAACTTCAACATAATGAAACCTACCAACATTTCTAACAAATAAGATACATTATCCAGATTTCCAACAAATTGTACCTTAGTCAGAATGTACGTTACTGTGAGTTTCAACACTATGAACCTTACCCAGAGACTCTCGGAATCCTACTCGGGTTTCAACAAAGCAGGAGTATGTAATGTTTCCAGAGATTCAACAACAAATAACTCACCCGCTGTTCCGCTAAACTGTCCAACACTCAGAGTATAACCACTGGCTTCATCGGAAAGTGCGAAATTGTCATAGGCAGCATATGCAGTATTTCCATCAAAGTCTTCCAGATCAACTCGCAGTTTATAACTTCCACCCTGGTTAGTCATGGCGTGAATCTTGTGGTTTCCGAGCCAATATTCTCCTCTCACGCTGCCAAAGCCGTGCTTATACTCATTCCACCCCTGATAGAAATCTACACTGCCATCATATCTTTCATGGAATACCTGTCAGCGCATACAGAGCAGTAAATGCATACAATTGTCCTTGAATACATCATATTTATCTTGCAGTGCCGAGTTCGAGGAAACACATAAACTCACTTCAATCCTAACTTCCTTTGTATCTTTTATGAAATAACTATAAATGCATATGTATTACAATTACGTGTAATTGATAATACTTGTGGAAATATAAATATTACGGAATATGCTTCTGCACACAAAGAATTGAATATCTTGGTTTCAACGTCTGCCATGCATAGTACATAAAAGAATAGTATAAATATAAGTGTGCGTGTCACAAGGTTTGTCTGTATTAAACTCGTTAGTACTACTAGGCATAGTGACGGTTATGTGAGATTCGTGACAAATTCATGAGCTTAGGAAACATTTTCTATTATTTTGGTAAAGTTACTAAATGTTCAACCAACGATTACTGCAAATAACATTCACAAATCTTTAATTTAAATTCCAAACCATAACCACGCGATTATACCATACATAGTGCTTGAATGATACCTACTGTCCATCCACCACCATCAGTGTCCATATCACAGTATACAGGGTAGTCACCATGTGGGTCCCCATCTCGCTGGATAGTGTATATACCACTGGATACTCCACCCTTTTGTTGAATATCAAAACAGTCCTTTCCCGTGGGAGAGGAATACGCTCGAATCGACCCACCTGGAATTACAAAATACATATCAAAATTAAATAATACATTAATTTGTAACATAGAAAATGCTTAGGTCAAATAAAGGTGAATGTCATGTGAGAAAACATTTAACAATCTGCTAAACACAATTACCTCGGCAGTCTGTAATACTAGTTATTATATGTTTAGGTACGTGTACTTCACCACCACCACCACCAGTAGATAAATTGTCCAGCTTGTCTTCGACAGTTTCCAAACGTTCATCTATCAGATCTAATGTCTCCAGCCGTTCGTTTATCTGGTCCAATATTCTTGCTCCTGTTGTCAGTATATCGGAATATCTAAGTGTGTTGCAGCTGCTAGACTTAGTGTATTGGCTGATGATCTCTTCGAAGTCGCCAGCTTCTGCGTATGCCAGCAGTACGAACACAATCGATAAGACAATTGGTCTACCCATTACAGATAACGTCTGCAAACACATGTAAATGAATGATTAAAATCGGTTGCAAGAAGAAATCTCTATATCCTCACTATAACACAAATACATATCAGAAGTATGTAAGCGTCTTTGTAATGCGAAGAGTAGTGGAAACATGCAATACGTAACACACAGAACAGATAATCCGCAATAAAACATTAAGGCAATACCTTCTCACAGCAACTGTTAAAACTTTGCACTGTTGCCAACACGTCATCTGCTGCACGAGTTTACTTGACAATTATTTAAATATATTCATTGTATGTATGATATTGATTCCACTAAACTTACCATATTTGCTTTTTTTTAATTCAATTGAAACGGCTATAGATAAAATTTATTAAAAGTATTGCTATGGCGAGAGTGTACACTATTGCCTTGTTCAATTATACATTCTATCAGCTGTACTTTCACATACGACTTAGATTAATGAGAAAAACAACTTTGTATGAGAGGGCAACTTCGCATCACACGGTGACTACGAACCATATCATAATGGCTTCTTCATACAACAAGATCACTTTGTCTCATCTGTGCATTTCATACCTTGGCACTTCTAACCACCCATGCGCATCGTTCCAAGCCCGGCCACTTCGTCCTACACGTGCATTTCGTCCCAAGACACTTCTTATCACATGGCTATTTTGTATCTTACCACGCCCCAAGTTCTTTTGCACCACATGGTCGCCTCGTCTCAAATCACTTCGTCACTGTTTTAAGTCAGCTGGTTACCCTGTACTGCTTAACCAATTCGTACCACACATGCACAATGTTGTTAGTACGGTGTTGCCGATTACCAATGACAACTAAAAAAAACAAGTCGCGATGATATTAGTATTTCGCTACCTGAGTGTGTTAAAACTTTAATATATTGTCTTTATTAACTAAATTTACTCTAGAACTGAGTTTTGTTTTTCTGACAAGGAGTTTAGTTGGCTAGTTTATAACCTATTCATTATTACGCGTACGTTACAAGCACGGCGTATTTTTAATTATTTAATTACTCATGTAGATTAACATAGACATAACAACTTGGAGAAAACATGTGATAGTATTGTAATTACAGTGTTAGTGACTAGCCTAGTATGTGCACGTTACCTAACGATATTGTCGTTGACGATTCGAACCGTTTAGTCTACAACATGCAGCAGAAGACACAACGCAATCGTGCAATGCCTATTTATATTCAATGCATACATCTGTCCTTGAATACATCATGTTTTTTTGTTTTTTTAATTTAATTTAATTTAATTTGTTTGCAGTGTCTTAAAGCGCGGCGGTCGTCGCACAGCGCGTGTTCGAATTTCATGTAAATAAACAATGCATTTTACACGCGTTGTATACGCCACTATGAGTCCCCTGTCGAACAAGACGCGGCGCGACGACTGCCGCCCTTTAACTGTTTCAAAATGTGACAAAGTGAGTCATACACTACATTATCAACTCAATCATACATTCATATGGTCATCATGAAATTATCTGAAATGACAAAAATAACCAATCGATTTGGAAATTCATCGAATACAGAGCCGAGAGGAGTCAATTTCAATGTCACTTTCATGTAACAATACGTCCAAAATTACAAATTACAATTCCGCTAAATTCCGATTACCTCTGTAGCCGGAAATACTTGACGATATTGCTTCAGCTACGTGTACATCACAACAACGAGATGAACTTGTCTTCGAATGTTTTCAACCGGTCATTGTTTTGGAGTTTTGTCCCATTTATCAGCTTTAGGAATATTCTACGTATTGGCTAATGGTGTTCACAAAGCCGCTAGCGTCTGTATACATCAGTATTAACAATAACAGAATAATAGAAGTGATAATACAAATAGTCTACCCATTATAAATTACGTCAAGGTTCTGAACCACCAGCTATCGGTTAAATCGGCACTAATGTTTAATACTTTTTAATACTATATTTTAGCCACGCATCAGCAGTAACATAATATGAATAAATTCAGCGGAATTGGATATCCCAACATGAAAAGCCTAGCGAATGTTTTCATTTTCATTTAAATCAGATTTAAATTATGGCGTAGATGTGACTGAAATTCGTAAACAATGTGTATAGCAAGATATTGATGAGTTAAATAAAACATAATAATAAAACATGAAAATAATAAATATAATGGAACATATGTAGCACAATTGATCACATTTGCTATTCATGCCACACTAGCATTTCCCATTCATTAAAGAAAATACCGAAAAACGTGTTTCTCTCTTTTTTATTTGCATAGTATTGCATCACATATAATTCATACTTAACCCATCATACTAATACTAACACTAGATGAATATACGAACAGTTTTTTGCCACTTTGAACAAACAGAGCGTGCACTGTCACAGGGTTGAGTTTGTTTATGCGAAGGAAAGAAATAAGTAACACACAGAAAATGTCCATTACAGATACTATGATTTGGGAAAAAATATGCGAGTATGTCGATATTAGACTTTATTATATATCACAAATCTGCAAATTCATGATTGCAAAATATGGTGTGACCATTAATAATAAAAATCATGTTACGTTGTTCCATGAGTTTAGCATAAACAATGGTTTCATTTTCATTTCAGAACATTTGGTGGAAATAGTAATGACACTTCAAATTGAGCCACAAATCATCATTAGGTAAGCCCTGATCACCTATCGCCGAGGTATTTACCATACAAGTAAGATACAAGACATGGTTAGTACCACCAGGCACCATGGTAACAAACAGCACAATTTAATTTGAACCCTTGTTGGTAAACATTATACCACTGTGACATGGTCAATGAATTGTCCGAAAAAGGGATTAAATATAGCATATATTACTACAATGTGCACTGGTCTCAATTCGTACTCAGGTGTCATGACTTGGTCAAATTTCGTGCAAACTTGGTACATACTTTGAAAATTATGTATTTTGTTCAAACTTGATAGATGCTTTATACGCTCATACATCATGCCACATATGTGCACATATTCCGATTCAAAATACGTTGTAGTAAACTAGTCGTTATTTTAATGATAAAAAGCATCTAAATTAGGCATTACAAAAATTCCGGACTCAGTTCTTGGTTATACATAGCTAATGTTCATGTTCTGATTGAAGATAACTCATTTCAGTGATGTGGTATGTATTATACTAGCGGGTACATCATACCTTACTCAACGTGTTTAACATAGTGTATTTTGCCCACATAACAAATGAATGAAATACAACTAGATTTTCAACAAACCGAAACTGAACCGCACGTCCAAGGCAGTGTAACAAACCTGCAGGTCCACTAAACCATCAAGGGTACAGTTTGCGGCATGGGCGTGTTTTCAAGATCATGGTCAAATGGTCAACTTTTAGTCAAGAGCAGCTACCGCCTTGGTTATATAGTCACGGAATGGATCTCATGGTTTCCAAGCAAATATTCGCCTCTGACACTGTCAAAACCGTGTCTATATTCATTCCATTCTCAATACCGCCATCATACTACCTGAAAATACATGTATTACATCAAGTCCACAAGGATTCTCAAGTCCAAAATTAACACGATAGATTGTGATAAATATTCGATTACATGTATATGCTAAATTAAACCTTTCAAAAATAAATATTTTTGTAATATTTCAAACCCGTCGTGCATAACCAATTAACTTCCAGAATGATCACCAAATACACAACTATTTACTTTTTAGTTTTTAAAAGTGTTCTCCAAAAAAGAAAATAACAGTGTCACTTTAAACAAACAATAGGATTTCTAGACTTAATATCAGGTTACTGAAATAAATGCCAAAACTAATATTAATTACAGGGTAGAGAAAATATCATATATTCATGTTTATTTTTGCGTCCGTTTAATTAAAATTTCTAGCATGTGTTTTAAGAAACTGCATTCACACTTTATCTCGCCGTGGTGTGCACGAATGTAAATTCACAAATGCTGACAACATTATTAATTATAGTAATTTCGGTCACTTTGCACCACGTCCCAAGTCACTTCACACCAAACAGTCACTATGTATGGATTTAAGTGATTATTTTTATAACGACTGTCTGCAATGTGATAAATTACTCATTCACTCTATAGAATTATGTTTTAATAACATATGCATTAACACACACTACAAACATGTAATGACCGAACATAATCCCAACGCGACTTTCTGTTAATTTCTGGCAACACATGTCAATTTTAACCAATGACATATCGCACACACAATATAGTTTCTAGCCCCAAAACTCGATAATACACCGCCAAGTGATTTCTGTCATTATAGTGAGCAAGAAATACTTTTACTGGGCATTACTACAAACATTAAAGCAGCTTGCCTGAATGTGTGGGGTCATTTTAAGGAGTGAGGTCGCATGGCAGGTGTGTGGTCAGTGTCAACAGATGGTGGAAATTAATTATAGATGTAGACATTCCCTAATACTTCAATTTAAATTGGAGCAGCACGTGTATAGCCTCACAACACACATCTGTTCCTTGGTGTTTCCTAAACTAAATGCCCTAATTTAATTTAATTGGACAGGAGGAGATATGCCATATGGCCATCTTTGTTTTTGCTCAATTTAATTAAAATCTATGATGTGTTTGGGGTAATTCGCATTCATGTCTCCACATGGTTTGCGAGAATGCAAGTTCACCACTGTTGCAGACTACATTAAGGATTACAGTCACTTCCTCCTAAGTTATTTGGCACCACGTGGTCGCTTCGTGGCAAGTCACGTCGTTCCATACGATCGCTTTGTATGGATATACTGTTTACTAATAATGATTAAAGGCGAGATATGGGTCTCGTATATAAACACAGATAGCGATTTTGATTGTTGCGCAGACTAACGAGTACAAACTGAAACCCTACTAAGCTTAAGTTTGTAATTTCTCTGGTGATAGTAAGGTGTCGAAGTAATCACCGGCGGTAATTAGTTCATCCGGGTCAAAACTAGTACCTGTAATTTCCATTGTACGTTAAAAATCGATATTTTAATATCATAAAATTACGTATTAAAACAATCATTGTACCTGTGGTGTACCTGGCCGGGAGATGATTCATTGCTAATGTATAATACCATTATGGGTTTGGGCACATGCATTTTGAATACACCATTTATGTTACCAATAGTGACAGCACGCTTTTTTGATGTAAATGTGAAAGGAATTACATTGCTATAGTTATGGACTGTAAACATCCGACATAAAATAAATTATA